AGAGAGCTTGACCTTTGCAATCCCTCAGCTTTATACAGAGTACGATGTGTATGGAATGGAATACTTTAGTGGTCAGTTTTGGGTCACTTGTCCTGTCTGCTACTCCTCACAAGTGTGACCTTTTTATTTACTTACATCTCTTTTACTTAAAGCACTCTAACGTGGTACACAAGATTTAGCAGTGACCTTCACTTCTACAGGAGCAAGTATAAGCAAAAGCCTTTCTACACACCAATCCCTGGTAATAGCTACAAACAGCCAGTGCTATCACTTCCAAAAGCAGACACTCTCTGCAAAAAAATATGCTGTTAACTTCAGAAAGTGCAGTTAACTTAGAGGAGACTCATCTGAAAGGTAAAATCACTGAACAGAGAATCGGTTCTGTTCTAGCTCAAACCAAAACTAAAGGAGAAATATTTCCTTGGCTTATAAGAAATTTTACATGGCCTTTAATTCAAGGATTCATTACTGCAAAAGAAGAAGCAGAGTAAAAAAAAATCCTTATACTAACCTTACTTGACTTTAGGACCTTAATTTGTTCTTCATAAACCGTGTCTTTATTCTTTTCCAAAAAGCCTTCACATTGATATTCTACCTAAAAACCATAATTTAAAAAAAAAAAAAAGTAAATTAAGATTTTTAAATAAGAATATTTGGCATAGAATTCACTAGCTGTAACATTCACATTTAAACTAGATAATTCTTGTAGATGTTGAAAATATATTTAGCAAAGATACACTTGGGAGCTGATAAATTTTCCTCCAAGAGAGTGCTTTCCAGTAAAATGTTAAGATCTATAGAGATGAACACTATTACTGCATTATATCAGATACATTTCACTGCTGAGAGATCATTGTGGCAAGGCAGCACGGCTGAATGGTGCCAGTAAAGGTGAAGAATCAAAATGTGTGTTAAGCATCCCCTTCACTGAAGTTATCATGGCTGCAAAATTGTGTAAAATCCAGATGCAACTGAGAACAAAGTACCTCATCTCATTAGCTGGGAGGCAGTAAGAGTTTCTGCCTAGAGTTTGTTATGAAAATGTCTCATTTGTACTCAGAAAGAGTATTTTTACCAGAAGTAATAAAAAGTCTAAACGCTGTGGCAACACCCAACAGTCCTCTATCACAGAGCCTGGGGTGCTCTATCTCCACACTCTGCTGAGGTACTCCCCAACCAGCTTCCCTCCTTCCTGTTTGGAAGAGGCAGCAAAAAGACGGTAGCAAAACCAAAGAACAGCCAGATCATCAGATAAAAACCTAGAGTGTATTTCACTGTCCTAATTCAAGGCTCAACAAACCCCAAAAGCTATTGCCAAAACTCTATACCTTAGAATTTTATATTAATTAACCTAAGTATGCTGACTCGTGAGGAGTCTCGCGCTAACTCTTCAGTCTTGTAGCAGAAGTGCAAACCATAAAATACAAGAGCAGATCCTTATAGCAATTTTATCCTTTCAAAATAAGAACGCAGAGGATCTCCCCAAGGCCTCTCCACATCTGAAAGCCCACTGAACGTTACCTCAGATACCACTCATGTTCTTACTGCGGGAGACAGCGCCAGCAGAGGGCAGCAGAATCTCTGTCTGCCTTCTCCCAGAGACGCACGCGTCAAGGCAGGGAGGCTGCCCGCCTGCCAGCTACAGCTTTAGTTTTCCTTCAGGGTGTCTGTACTCGTTCACTTAAGTACACAGGAAAGCACCAAATGCTTCTCACAGACAGCCTATCAGAGTTAGGGCTTTGCCAATACCTGCTGGAACTGCTGTTAGCTTTCCTTGGCCCTCACTGCTCCGGCTGGGCATAGGAAAGCCTTGCTTTCAAATACCAAAGTTAAGTCTAATGAACAGTATGGGAAATAGAAATTAAGCCCTTCTTGTTCTCTCATCCAGCAAATAAAACACAACTCATTAATTTACACAGTTACAGAGGAGCTCCTAATGCTTTCATCAAGGTGACACTAGATGCAAAACGAACCCTTCTTCTATGTGCAAATTCAAGAACCTGGGAGAAACTAAGTGGAGGGAAATAAAGGCCTCTAACCCCCAATGTCGGCACGTACAGACCTACTGATAAGAAGCCCAGAGCTTCTCTGAAGTTTTTTCAACATGGCTGACTACATTCTGAGGCAGTTTCTTTGCTTAACATGTCAATTATCTTAAAGAGGATTTAATATTTTTTTATTTGCTTGGTTTGATGATGCATTGTGGGAGCTGAACAGCACATGCACTCTGCTGAGATACCCATCGTCCAGCTTCTCTCCTTCCTGTTTGTAAGGTGGCAGCAAAGCCAACATTGTTTTGTTGTTGCTTTTTGGCTAAAACTGCAGTGAGACAGATGGTTTTCTATGCTATAACTGAAATTGATATAATTACACTGTGAATTGCAAACACATTAAACTGTCACGTTTTGAAGAAAGATGGTTAGTGGTTACAGTGCACGACAGGAGTCAGGAGCTCCTGTTTGTGTTACTGGCCCTGCACAGCTGCCAGGTCAGCTTTCCTCTCCTTTACAGGTGTACAGGCAGGCAGGCAGGCAGGTTTTGCAAGAAGCTCAGTAGAGACAGGGATGCCAGTGCCCAGCCACTGCCTGCAACAGTCCCCGACCCCAGGGTCAACCCCGTGCACACGCTCAGTGACACCAGGCACAGCAAGACATACCAGAGGAAAAGTCCTTACCTTGTCAGCAAAGTGCTTGATGATAAAAGCCTTATTGGACAAACGTGGTTTTTCAAAGAGGGCACATTTATTCAAATGAGTATTATATAGTTTTTGGGCCCAAGTGTCATCTGAGCCTTTAGGCATCTATAGAAGAGAATACACAGTCATTTAAAAAGTCTTGAAAATTTTCAGTAGTGAAAGAAACTAAGAAGACAGGGGACAACACTTTGTGGTTTGCTTTCAAACTCCAGCTCCTTGGCCTTCCAGCACTGCCATAAGCAAGGAAGGAAGGCTGTAACCAGCTATGCACTTGCCCTTCTAACACTCTGGACTAGGTGCAGCCCCGCAGCATGTGTAACTGCTATGTGACATATACAACACTAATAACACTCCCAGTGTCACACCCATGAAGACTGGGGACCCACGAGGTACGTTACATGACTGAGCATCATCTCAGCAGGTCAGAACTCATCCATCACCATTAGACATTGCTTGTGATGCTGTTGTGATACACAGGAAGCCCAAACTGGGTTTCCACTGAAGTAGACACCACACACCATCCCCTAGACATGGCTTTGCATAAAATAAGATAAAAGACAAAAGGTGAGATGCCAAGCAAGAACTGATTTAGACAAATCTGGCAGAACTAAAGACTGCACTTGCTATCCTCAGAAAGTTGCCAGAGTCAAAGCAAAGGTTGATCAGAGACCCAAAACCAGATACAGACACGTGATGAAGAGAAAGGGAGGGAGAAAAAAAGCATGACTAAACCCATTGTTTCTTGTCCTGTAATTGCCAATTCTGTTTGCACATTGTCCAAATCCTTTCCACAGCAGAGTGTCAAAATGATGGCTGTACACAGACGACTTTTCCCTGTGAGGCCCCAGAAGCAGGACAGCTGATGACCTCTTTCTTTATGAAAGCCCTTGAACGCACACACACCTTGCACTCCTCATCCAACAGATCCAGAATTCCCATTTTGGCCTCTATGAGGTTGATGCAAGGCTGATTGTCATAGAAATCAATCAAGGTCCACGGTATTTGTTCCTTCATATATTCTTCTTGTTCCAGCTTAAAGACATGCTACAAGGCAAAAAGAAAACAGTTTTCAGTGAAATAAAATGCAGAATAAATACATCAAACCCTCACTTGAATTAATCTTGGCACATTAATCCAGGCTGTCAAGTGACATGCTAGTTCAACTGAATAAACCTGTTAAGAAGTAAGTATATGAAAAATAAATTAACCTTTTTTTCCTGGCCTAAAACCAACAGACTAAATTAAAGCACTCATCCATAGCAAATAAGGTCTATTTTTGCCTATCTTTTTACTGTATTGTCCCACAATTACTATAAGCTCTTTTCTCTATAGAAAAAACAACACAAAACTCAGAAAAGGCTCAAGGAACAGCAACTTACAGAGTGGGATGTACGATGCATTTATGATTTTGAAGTTATGAATACTTCTCTATTTCAAGTAAAATTTCACTACAAATACTTCTGCATTTCCTTGTAAAATAACAGAGCTCCATTTTCTCTCAAATGGCTGCTGATTTTTTTCTGAGATGACACATTGCATTACAATATGCTTTTCAGCAAAAACCTGCAAGAATGTCTCTAGAAATACTAGTACAAGAGATCCTTTAGGCAAATTTTTGTGGAAGATTTGTCTGCTACAAAGATCAGTAACAATGTAGTTTTATACTTATTCAAAAATATGATCACAGAAAAATGGGTACTGCTTTAATGAAGTGTGCGACGTGTTATCTCCCATTTAAATGTTAATGGACACCACCCCCGACACGCTTCCCCCCCCCCCCCCCCC